CCCCAAAACCCCAAAACCCCAAAACCCCAAAACCCCTTTTGGACTGATGGTTATAGAAATTTATAATAAATATGCTCTTACCAAAAATTCGCCAAAATTTTGAGTAAATATTGAAATTTCCTCTCTGACCCGCATCCTTTAGCTGTTTTAAATACTCAAAGTTACTCTCAATGAGTAGAAGACCTTACATGACCGATATCTTCAGTAAATTTAAATCTAATTTTTAGAGAAAGACATTAGTGACTCTCTAGAAACAACAGTAAAATTGCTTAATGATCATATAGACTTTCAGAGAGTATGGCTTGCATCCCTACTTATTAGAAGGATTGGAGAATTCCTTCAGCTATTGTAGTTCAATCCAAAAATAAGGTATTTAAAGCAAAACTAACTGATAGGTTCTTGATAATAAAATCCAGGACGGGGCAAATGCAATGATTCTATCAGAGACAGGCTCAGGGAAGACACTATCTTACCTAATCCCAACCCTTAATAGGATATACCACACTAAAGATAGATTGGAGAAAGAGAAAGTTTCTATTGGAGGGGCTAACTATAAAAATCCATCTGCATCTAATTCGATCAAGAGGAATAGCTTATCCTTAAAACCTTCAGTTAGTAGAACTTCAAGAGGAGGGTTGATTATGACCTCATCACAGCATCTACTCAGCCAGATTGAGCTCCAACTCTCAGATTTAGACTTTAAGAAAACTTTGAATGTCTCGATAGAGAACAAATCAAATGCTTTACCTACCAACTTCATGGCTTACGATCTAATCTTGTGCACTCCTTCAAAGTTATTCAGCGAGAAGACATTGTTAAATCACACAGCATTAGGCTTGAACCCAGAAGTGATTGTTTTCGATGAGTTTGACACCTGATTTGCTCTATCAGGGTTTAAATACCAAACTGTAAAAGTTCTAGATCTCTTATTGAGTAAAGCCTTATCCTAAAGTATAGGCCAAAACAGAGCCCAAAAGCAGTTCTTATTCACAGCAGCTACTCTCCCTCGAAGAATTTTCAAGCATAGTGCGAAAGACTTCTTCAGAAGCAAAGTTTCTAACCTTCAAGTAGTGGAGTCTAACAATATGCATAAATTGAATCAGAATATAGATTTCGAATGGATTAGAACAGATTTAGAAAATGAGTAATATTTGTGAATAATTTTAGCCCAAAAATACTCCCAATTGTGCAGAAAGAACTGAAGAATGATGAGAAAATTCTCATATTTTGCAACACAAAACAAAAGATGGAGCAACTGCAGAAGTTCTTCACAGATCAAGGTCTTGGAGAGGTCACTGGTATGGCAAATTGTATGATGTGTTAGGTACATTTTCAGGAGAGCTCAGTACTCAAGAAAGAGTTTCTCAGTTAAACTCTCTTTATCTCTCTAAAATTAAAATTCTGATATGCACTGAAGTAGCAGCTAGAGGAATTGATTCAAACGAAGTAAAGCATGTGATTTTATATGATTTCCCGACAAAGTAAGTTTAGTAATAATCCCTAGTGTCACCTCTTTTATTCACAAAGTAGGAAGAACAGGAAGAATGGGTACTAGTGGGAAAGTGACCAGCTTCATTCGTGATTACAACATCAGATTGCTGGATGAGATCTACCCACTTCTGGAAAAACAGGACAAGATGGATTCAATAATGAGCTCAAGAGGCTCCCTTGGAAGAAGAATTAGAAGACAAGAAAGCAGAAGTTCTGATTAATTATTTCATAAATTTTGGGATAACAATTATCTTTTATTCATTGTAAAGATAAAGCTTTTCTTTACTCTTGCCTTTGGTTTTGATGATTTTGTAGGCGTATAATTAAGCACCTTGCTTTTGAACCTCTCTCTTGGATCCTGGATCTTGTATCCTCAATTTTTAACAGATTTGCTGTTAGATATCCTCTTCTGAGCGTTGTTTGAGAAGAAAAGAGTGTTCTTCTGCAATTCTACCAAAAATCAAATAATTGAGACATACTTTTAGTGTAATTTTTAAGCATTTCTTGTGTAAACTTTGCGCTAAAATGCTTCTGAGCCAAGGAATTTATTTTATTCTCAAATTTGGGATTTTCACTGTTCAATTTCTCTCTCGAGTATTTCTTGTACATACTTTGAGGATTATTGCCTAGATAGGTTACATTATTTTCAGGATTTTCTCCAGAATATATTAAATTTAGCATAAAATGTTATGATCACCTCTAACCAATCTCGCTTGAGGTAAAGGGAGTTTGACCTCTTTTTCTTGAGCCTTCCCGAAGTTGCTGATAAAATTGTTAACTTTAACGCCACTGTTTATAGGGTTTGGATTTCTACATTGGCTACTTGAATTAGAGCTTAAAAATTGGGAGAGCATTTTCTCGTTAATATATTTCAGATTCTACAAGTTATTGCAAGCTTACAGCCAATGGCTTCATTGGAGAATTTCCATGGCAAAATTTCTTTGTACTTGACATTTTCTTCTTAATCCTTACTCATGGGATCAAGCCTGAAAATAATTCAAAATCTTACTATTTTTCCTTTTTCACAATTTTGTTACCAATTCTAATGGGAAACTCATTTGGCTAAAGCTAAGTTCTGATCATACATTTTGCTCAAAAGAGAAGCTTCTGTTCATATCTAACATTACTTGGTTGCTATTTTAAAAGCAAGTCATTGGTGCTCGGAAGTCTAAAATTTCCAATAAAAATTACCTTAAGATGATTTCTTTCCCAGGAGAATCAATACCTCTATTTTATATGCAGAGGAGACTCTTCTGTCAATCTTGTCCTAAATTTATCATAAATACCAATAATTCAGGATTTTTGGATTAGAAATTTCAGTATAAATGGCTACCTTCCTGGTCTTTGAAAAATTTTCGTGCTTGACACCCTCTTCATGTTCAAGCCTAAGTTATAGTGGTACATTTTGAAAAAATATAATTAAAAACCTATGAAAGGGGTTTTGGGGTTTTGGGGTTTTGGGG